CCATTGTGCTACTGTTGGATGGAGTCTTCCTCAACCTCTCCCTCTCTCCTTGCTGGATCAAGGCGTGGGAGACGTCACCGGGCTGTACGTGTGTTGAACGCGGAGGTGCCGTGCGTTCGGCACTTGGTCATCGGTGATTTGAATCACGACGAGTACGACTCCATCAACCCCGTTCACTTGAACGCTTCCGCTTAGCGATCTACAAGGGTATGTAGATGCACTCTCCTTCCCCTCGTTGCTGGTCTCTTCATAGATAGATCTTGGTGACACGTAGGAAAATTTTGAATTTCTGCTACGTTCCCCAACAGTCCCCTGGTCGGGCCACTCCCGCCTCGGTGCGGGCCGCGACTCCCTCTCCTGTGGCTCCGAGCGGCCCACGTGGCGCTCCTGGTGCAGGGCGCACTGACCCGGGCGAGACGGGCCCCTCTCGGTCGCTGGCGTCGAGTCTGACGCGAACAAGTGGCGGGTCTGCACCGGGCTCTGCGACGGGATCTCCACAGGAGTCCTCCCTCGGATCTGGTGCGGCAGGCCCTGGATCTTCTGCGGATTCTGCGGCCAACTCCGATTCTGCTATTTCTGCGTCAACAAACAGGCTGCAGGTTCGGGCTGATCAACCAGCCCCTCCTTCTACCATGCGTACTCATACTAGGTCTCAAAGTGGCATTACTAAACCAAAAGTTTACAAAGATGGGTGCGTTCGTTGGGGGTCGTTTTGTGCCGCAGGTGAACCAAGAAATTTACAAGATGCGCTTGGTGACCCGAAGTGGAAGGAGGTGATGGATGAGGAGTACTCTGCTCTTATGGATAACAAAACATGGCGTCTCGTTCCACCTGCCAGAGGGAGGAACGTAATTGACTGTAAATGGGTGTACAAAATCAAGAGGAAGTCTGATGGCACCATTGACAGGTACAAGGCTCGGCTAGTTGCCAAAGGCTTCAAGCAAAGGTATGGTGTTGACTATGAGGACACCTTTAGCCCTGTGGTAAAAGCTGCTACAATCCGTTTAGTTTTGTCCATTGCAATCTCTCGGAATTGGTGCATGCATCAACAAGATGTCAAGAACGCGTTTTTGCATGGTGTTCTGGAAGAGGAAGTCTTTATGAGGCAGCCTCCTGGGTATGAGAGCTCAGTCTCACCACGACACGTCTGCAAGCTTGAGAAAGCACTTTATGGTCTGAAACAAGCACCAAGAGCCTGGTATTATCGTTTGTACTCCAAACTTCGATCTCTTGGTTTTGTTGCTTCCAAGGGAGATACCTCGCTGTTCTTTTATCATCGGCATGGAGTAACTATTTTTATGCTTATATATGTTGACGATATTATTGTTACAAGCTCCTCACCTAAAGCAGTTGCAGCACTCCTCCAGGATCTGAGTATGGATTTTGCATTAAAAGACCTAGGTGCTTTGCACTTCTTTCTTGGTATTGAGGTAAAAAAACTTGCAAATGGAGTTCTTCTGTCACAGGAAAAATATGTGCAAGAGATACTTCAGCGGATGGGCATGACTGGATGTAAACCGTCCCTTACGCCCCTGCCTACCTCCGAGAAGTTGTCCCTTCATAATGGAGATATTCTCACAGCCGACGACTCCACCAGGTATAGGAGCATCGTGGGAGCACTACAATACCTAACATTGACCCTGCCAGATATTGCATATGCCGTCAATAAGGTTTGTCAATTTTTGCATGCTCCAACCACTGTTCATTGGACCGCTGTAAAAAGGATACTCAGATATCTTCAAGGAACACAGAGTCATGGACTTAAGCTTTGCAAGTCAGACTCCATGCTTGTTAGTGCATTTTCTGATGCAGACTGGTCAGGTTGCCCTGATGACAGAAGATCCACAGGAGGGTTTGCAGTTTTCCTTGGAGGTAATCTGGTCTCATGGAGTGCTCGTAAGCAGGCTACTGTATCCAGATCTAGCACAGAAGCTGAGTATAACGCCCTAGCTAATGCCACTGCTAAGGTGATCTGGATCCAAAATATGTTGACAGAGTTGGGAATTCATCATCCCAAGGCGGCGTCACTATGGTGTGATAATTTGGGTGCAACATATTTATCTGCCAATCCTGTGTTTCATGCTAGGACAAAGCATATTGAGATAGACTATCATTTTGTCCGAGAACGGGTAGCTAACAAGCTGTTGAACGTTCGCTTTGTTCCTACCGGTGATCAAGTTGCAGATGGGTTTACTAAACCCCTTCCTTTGAAGCAGCTAGAGGCATTTCGACGCAACCTCAACTTAGATAAGTTGTGATTGAGGGGGAGTGTTAAACAATGTAACATACGGTGTGTGTATAAACCGTATATGCGTGCGTGCGTGTAGTCTGTTAGCATTGTAGTTGGGCTGTTGAGATTGCATCCTATCTAGATATGACTTGTGGATCAATCCATAGCCCAACAACCCTTGTATATCTTAAGGCCTTGTGTCTATATAAACACGCACGCGTCCCTGCTAACCGCATACGCTTAAGCCTAGTTTACTACAGAGATCTAGGAATTTATTTGTGGCTAAGGAAAAAATCAATCTGGTAGATGAGAATTGGAAATTCGATTTTTTTTTCTAAACTAATATAAGGACCAATATGATCTTTGATGGTCGGATGCCGCACCCTCGGGGAGAGAAGATTAATCTCCCCGGGGCAGCGCGCTGTGGAAGTGGTGGAAGGTCCTAGGATCGGCGTCGTGAGACTAACCGCTCTCATACCATAATCGGCTACCTCGACATCGACATTAATGGCACAACAACATATCGGCGACAACTCCAGTCAACAGTGTCCGCGTCTTCAGCCACTCCCGCTGTGACTGCGGGAGGGAAGAGAGAAGAGACAAGGAAGGTACCAGAAGGGGACGCAGTCACCGCCCTAGGTGCCGACCCATCAGAGACGTGGTTGATGATGGAGCAGCGGAGAAGACGACGAAAACACAAGACTTCAAATTCAGTCCGAACTGATGGAGAGAGGTGGGTAATATATTTCAACACTCCCCCTCACGTCTAGACTATTTTAATCCTTAGGCGTGGGATCGATGTAGGCCATATAATCATTTTATTTAACACTGCGTTGGCAGGGTCTTGAACTCAAGACCTCTTGACTCTGATACCATGTAGAAAATATGAAACCCTAGAATTATGTGTTGTATTGATATGACCCTCGTAGGAGTATATATAGAGTACACCGTAGAAGAGGCTTGGAGTACAAGGCAAGATATTGGGTATTTAAACTGAGTCTATCTCTTTCTCCTTATCTCTAGCTAATCACGTTTATACTTCTAACACTTTGTATACTCTACAGTTCTTCATTTCACCTAAACCTGATACTCTTGTACAATCTAGAAAAATTGTAAAGTCATTTGCTAGCTTAATACATTGAAAAACTAGTTTCTAGGATAATATATTAATATCAAAATGATACCCAATACGTCCGTAAGGACACGATACGAAGAGTTATTTAAGACATCAAGGATGCACATGCGATAGAAACACACACGTTAAGGTTTAATCTAACATTGGAAAAAAAGACTTGTAATGATAATATTAGATAGAAAAATTATGTATGTAAATAAGCATCAACATATTTGTATTTTTTGTATATCAATTAGAAAACAATATTTAACCACAAGATAGTTCATGACTAAATAAAAAAAGTTCAATAGAAATAGGGGCGGTGATGTCTGGCGTAGCATGATGGGCGGAGGGGGGGTTAATACCGGAGTACATTATTTACCTGGTTTTTCTGACCGACGTTGGCGGCGGCCGCGGGCGTCGTTTCCTTCGAAGTCTTCGTCGTGGGGTTCCCTTTTCCTTCACGTTGCTCTGGGTGAAAATTTGATCTTCGAGATCGGGCGGTGGCGACAATCCGATGTCGTGCCCTTCTTGAAGGCACCGCCTTGGAGTCCATGCTCTGTCAGTGTCTCACTTCACTTCTTCTCGGTGGCTAGTTCTCGGGAGGTCCTCGTCGGCTCCAAGCGGTTCGTTTTGCCTCATCTATAGTGTGCTTGGTGGTAGATTAGGTAGTGTGGCGGTGCGTCAGCACCCTTGTACCTTACCTTGGGTGAGTGTGGTGTGTGTTGGTGACGTGTTGTATTAGAATGTGTATATCTGGTCGTTGTTTTATATATAAATCGGGCGAAAGCCTTTTTCAGTAAAAGAAGTGAGGTGACGAGAAGACTCTATTGAAAAATAAGGATGAGCATAACCATGAGAAACCGGAAAAAACAACAAAAAAAACCTTCAATATGGTTCTTTGAGGCTTCCGTGATGCGTTATTTAAACTGGTCATTGGATTGACAGATGTAGATTATTTATTACCAATCACTTGAGTAAATAAATTTAAAGAGTAGACTTCAAGGCCTCAACTTGGATTCCATTAATCTATTTCTGAAGTCTGAAGTAAGAGTTTTTTTTTTTTGGTTGGTCTAATAAACAAATCTAGTATATCTGAAGTCCGAAGCAAGAGAATTTTTTCGTTGGTGTAATAGCCAAAAGGATTGGATTGAAGTGTAATGGATCTGGTGCAGGCTGCTAGGTTTTGCTGTTCAACTGCAGGTAACTGTTGTCCTTGGATGATACATCTTGGGCTAGATGACAGATGTGGTGTGTTGATTGGCAATGCATTTTTCTAGAAGAGGCGTTTCTGGTTGTTTGGTGGCACTGGTGTTATGTGTTCCGATGACTGTTTGGTGTGAAGATTATGGAGCGTCTCTGAGGAAGAGCAGAGCTTGACTCCATGCATTAATGTTACCTGCACTCACTTACATGTGAACTTTCAGGCCATGTCACTCAACACAGTAACCAGACAAGCTCAGCAATCTCAAAGGAAACTTGAAAACATTTTTTTTTCTTATTCCATCCATTGTCGTCGTGTTAACCGAAATAAAAACCACATAAAAGAAGAAGCAATGGAAATGCAAAGATGAGGAACAACGACTCTCAAGGATGGTTCAACGTGTGCTCTGGATGCAGTATCTCAGCCTGGAACATCAGCAGCCGCGATCATCATCAGTTGTCCTTGGTAGGGTAGGAGGCCATCTTGTTGATGCCGCAGAGGCCCTCGCCCTTGCCGGTGCCCCTCTTCATCCTGATGTACCCCTTCTCACCCCACTTGGCTCCCCACGAGTTCTTCACGATGATGTAGTCGTGGCCCTTGCCCTTGTCCGACCCGTACCCGACCGCCGCCACCCCGTGATCCAGATGCGCGCCGCACGGACCATCGAAAACCCCCTGCAGGAACCAGGAAAATGTTTCAGATTACAAGTCATTTCAAACATAGTTCAGAGCAAATGTTAAGAACACAAGTTAGTCCAGTAGAAGGGTGTAAGTTGAAAAATGTCATCCAACGTGAGTATGCATGTGGGTCACATTTCGGTGACACGTCAGGCTTTTTTTCCATTGCCAGAAATATATGTTAATATGTATGCTTACCCCGCTGTAGAACTGGAAGTGCCTGCCGGAGGCCTCAATGGCGACGGAGACGGGCTGGTGTGCGAGCGCCTTGATCAGCGCCTGCTCGTCCTTTGCCGGCACGTCCTCGTAGCCGCTGATCGACACCGCCTCGGACTCGCTCTTCTTGCCGTCGCCGCAGCTGCCTTCTTCCATGAGGTACGGGTAGGCCTCTTCGGTGTGGAGCCCGCCGCTGGAGGCGATGTAGGAGAAGGCATAGTCCATCATGCCGCCGTTGCAGCCGCTGTTGCCGTCGACGCTGCAGTCGATGAGCTCCTGCTCCGACAGCGCCGTCAGGTTGCCCGTCACGATGGCGTTGATCCCCTCCACCGCCGCCACCGTCGAGAAGGCCCAGCAGCTGCCGCACTGCCCCTGGTTCTTCACGTCCGTCACCGCGCCCTTCTTCCTCCAGTCGACGTCCTTGGGCAAGTCATGGGCAGACACGTCCTCGTACCTGAAGCTCCGGCTGCTGCTCCGGCGAGCCGTGGCAGGGCTGAAGCCGAGGTAGGCGGCCTTGAACTCGTCATGGGTGAGGTCGGCGAACTCATTGAGGCCGAGCCAGTAGCTGGTCACCTCCCGGTTGATCTCATCGATGAGCTTCAGGTTGTCCTTGAACACCTCGAACCGGTGCAGCTTCTCCTCGAAGCTCGCGTACGCCTTCTGGTGCTTGGCTAGCCACTTCTCGAACAGCTCGATGAGCCTGTCGTGCGACGACAGGTCCTCCTCCGAGTACCCGACGATGGAGAAGTCGCTGTTGCGAGCCACGCACACTCCGACACAAAGGAGGAGAACAGCAACCGAGAGCTTGGAAGCCATGACTGATATCTCGAATAATGGAAGTGTTGGTTGCAGGATGGAAGAGACAAGAGAGCATGCAATGTATTTGTAGCCTCAGTTTGGGCATGTGATTGAATTGCTTCAAAGCAAAGGCAATGGAGGAAAGAGAGATGCAGTGCCTGCCATTGCCATTGAGTGTTTAAATTAAATCATGCCAAGGCTTTAAGCTTTGATCTCTGACGGCGAGACTTGGCTTCCAAGCATGTAATGCTGGGTGCAGAGCGAGCATCCCTTTCTGTCTGTGGTACCTGCAAAAAGTTTAGAGGAAACCTTATTGGTGCCTGTGAACCTCATTCAAAGCAAAATCTTAGTGCATATATCTGAAGTCTAAACTGAAGAAGGAAAGTGTACATGTGCAACCTGATGGTTGGATGAACTATCAGTGTCAAGAGATTGCCATAAGTCCTTTTCCATGTTAATGCATCGTGTTCTCAGCTAGCTGAACATAGCAATGTACAATGGTTTCTGTATCTGTTCACCAGATTGTTTCAGAAAACAGTAGTGTTGATTTCACTTTGAGAAAAAAGGGTGTACCTTTTTGAAAAGATGTAAGGGAATGTTACCTCCTGGTGGCCACACTTGCTACTTGGAGTAAAACAGGGGCATCAAGTTCATCATGCATTGCAGGTGCTCATTTATCTTTTGCAGGCCATACAAAAGTCAAAACAAGCCAGATGCAGAGAAAATAGCAAAGGTAATCTTCTGTGGGCTGTTTCTATTAGATCCAGAGGAACATGGTCCTTCGGTGCAAAATGGAGTGCATACGTAGAGAGAAAGTCATAAACTGAACTAACATCTACCAACAGGGGCTCCAACCTTACCAATTTATGAATTCAAACACAATTATATATTCCTTACTCCATGTTATCAATACAGAGAAATTTTGGTATAATTTCAGTGCAACTCCTACTTGGTTCCTCTACTCAGAACTCCCGTGAGAAGTTAACCTTGACAGGAGGAATCAATATGAAACGGTGCTCTACTCTCACCACGGTAAGAATTTCATTACTGGTCCAGCTAAAAAAGGCAATTTCATCACCAAGTAAATGCTCACTCGGAGGACATGAAGATTCAATACAATGATACTACAGAATTATCATCCTAGTGCATCACTGCTGGAACATGTTGTTCAGTCTGTAACCATTCCACATAGCTATGAATCAACTACTAGTGTAGGTATCTCTGAATGCTTCTTGCCTCGGCTAGCTGAACATAGCAAAGTGCAATGGTTTATACATCTGTTCATCAGATAGTTTCAGAACAGTAAAAGAGGGGTGTACCTTTTTCAGAAGATGTAAAGGAATGCTATCTCATGGTGACAGCACTTGCTACTTGGAGTAAAAGAGGGGCATCAACTTCATCATACTGTGTCATGTGCTCATTTCTCTTTTCCAAACCATACAAAAGTCAAAACAAGCCAGATCCAAGCAAAATAGTGAAGGTAATTTTCTTGTTGGCAGCTTTTAGCTCTACACAAGTCTACAGGTACATATTTCTTGGGGGCAAAATGGAGTACATATATTCAGAGAAATGCATAGCTGAACCAACTGGAGACTTGATTTGACGAACTGTAACACAAATATATCTTTCTTACTTCATATACTTGGTTTTTCATTACAGGGTTGATAATTTTGGAAAGCATTGTTAGTAAAGCTTCTGCTTGGCTCTATCCAGAGCTCCAGTAATTAGCTTACCGAACATCTTGACAAGAGTAATAATACATAAGAAGTGGTACTTTATTCAGTGCAAGGTATCAAGATCAACATCACCGGAAATATTATCAGCTAAAGGCTCACTCCAAAGATACATAAGACGCAAAACTCTGCGATACTACAGAATTGTCATTCCAGAACATCACGAGAGAGACATAACATTCAGTCTCGGCATATAACCATTCTACATAGCGATAATCAACATAGGTATCTCTGGATGGAGTTTGAAGCTAGCACCGCGGTAATGGATAGTGGCCCTTCATGTTGGCTTCTCGTAGCTGTTCTGATCTCTGAACTCCGCCATCTTACTTTTGATGTAATCTCCCATATTAGGCTGGATAAACATGTGTGTGGGGTCAAGAATGTGCACGATGAACTTCTCCGATGCGGGCATTGACGCATTCATATTAACAATGAACTGAGCCATCGGTATATCACTGGGAAACAAAAAAGATAAACCAGTGGATCAACTAAAACTGCAGAGTGATGGTATAATGAACAAAACAGTTGATCCTGTTGGGATTTGCGAGCTTACCAGGAGATGAACAGCCCCTTGATTGCATTAACCATCTTTCAATGTGCTCAGTACAGTAGAATATTACCTGTTTGGCAAACAGAACAACCAAGTCATTCGGAGTAGTAATGTTACTGAAACATATACAAACAATCTGACACATATCATGTAAACAATGGGGTTCTACAGTGGCACCGGGTGATACCATTTAGCCAGCAGCAGAGAGAAAACAGGGGGAGGAGGGTGGAGGATCATGAGGCTTCATGGTGAAAAGGACCAAAACTAAATGTACTAAGAGCAAAATGCCCAAATCACAATGGTCAGTGGTCTGGCCATTGTGAACACAAGTACCAACTGTCTACACCTTCAGTCAGATTGGGACCATCAAAATGGAAAAAAGAATCCAACATGTGCCAGAGTTTAGGGGAACATAAACCCAACGCATGGATAATGCAAATGTGTTACTCCCTCCATACCGAAATACTTGTAGTTGGGGGAACTTGTACTACAAATATTTCGGTACAGAGGGAGTACATTACATCGCATGGCACATCAGAGTTAAACAATCTGTCAGAATAAACGGTGCTACTTGGGGAAGGCAGCAGATTACCAGATTGGGCAGGCAAATAAAATCAACGCAGGACAGACTAGATAACTGAGTGCAAATTGTGCATAACATGTAAACGAACTACAAAGGCATCAAAGTTAAATTTGCCCAAGCAAAATCTGGCAGATCAAGGCACACACAGTATGCTACAAAATCAGGGCGTCCAGAGTAGATTCGCTGAATCAGGGAACAAAATTAAATTGACATCAACGGCAGCTTTACAAGCTCCAACCTTAATTTACAGCAACAACGATCGGTTGAAGGGTGTAGTGGGATTCAGAGCGACATCTAAGTGAACTGCGTGACCGATTCTAATTCCACTTCCCCAAAGAATGTTTGGTACTAGAATCAAGCAATCAGGGTAGCTTCGATGCCAGTCTATCCTAGAAAAGATCCAAACCAGTCAAGATGAACGGATGTACAGGACAGTACAGTACAGGGCGGATCGCGGCGTCGATGTGGGATGAGCATCGGGCAGGGGTGGCACCTGGAGGGGGCGGGCGCGACCGCTGTCAGAGGAGAACCTCCTGGGCGCGAATCTTCCTGTCTTGGCGAGGGGATGGGGGCGCGGAGAAGGTCCGTGGCTCGCCGGCGGCGGCGGCGGTGGCGGTGGCGAGTTGAAGGGGATTCCCGAGCTGGTGGAGGAACACCTCTGCCCAGATCGAAGAGGGCTGGAAGGATGGGCTGCCATATGAAGCTATTGGGCCTATTATCCCTTCTGAAAGGCCTGAATTAAGCCCAGTAGTTGGCAAAGGCGGCCGACACTCTCCAAGCAAAAGGCTCAAGGCTGGCTGTACGGGCCAGCCCAATACATCCACAAACTTTTTTATTAGGCAAGCACGAGCAGAAGGGTCCCCAAACTCACAAAAAAAAAAACGAGGAGAATGGTGCTTTGTACTTGTCGGAGGGTCGCCATTTGTGGCTTATTAACCTGTATGATACCATTGTAGTTCCTGTCTACTTGATCGTTCATCAATAAAGTGCAGCATTTTAACCCTAAAAAACTCAGGATTTTATTTATTCAATATATTTTGGGAAATATATAATTGAAAGTTAGTTTACATATACATATATATATATATGTGTGTGTGTGTGTGTGTGTGTATATATATATATATATATTGTGAAATAAAAACACGTTTTCATATATTTGAATCGCTGGTTTGTACCATCCCAAACACGGTGTACCACGATTAGCTACTAAGGCAATATATAGAGGAACAAGGCTACATGATAGACTAGCAAGGCATGAGATCAAATTGGCATCAATGTTGAACTAACACCGGTGGTCAGAGTGGCACCTGGAGGAGGGGGATGTTGGCGACGCAAGGGAAGGAGGGGCAGCGCCGTCTGAATGGTGGATGGATGGATGGGTGCAACAACCTCCGTAAGGGGAGAACTGAGAGTCAGGTTGTCTTGCGAAGAAGGCACCATGTGTATGGTTGATAGCTCGGCATTGAAGTTGTAATCTGTCCTACTACATGGCACAACAGGTTGGGGTCCGTCCACAGGGACAGTGAGAGGAGGTCAAGAAGAGCTAATGTTGATAGGCCAAAACAATTTGTGGGATCATGAAACTTTATTCAGGGTTATTAAGTGGTAGTTACACGATCATGTGGCATTCTCAGCCCGACATGACAGTTGAAACCTAATGACAGAGAGAGTTTTGCTAATCTATCAACTTCAAAGTTGTGGCTTCTACCTTCATGCACTAGTAGAAAACAGGGCTTTGGTCCAGGCCGGGTCAGCCCATTAGTCCCGGTTCAGTCTAGAACCGGGACCAATGGGGGCATTGGACCCGGTTCGTGAGCCCAGGGGCCGGCCGGGCCACGTGGCCATTGGTCCCGGTTCGTCTGGACCTTTTGGTCCCGGTTGGTGGGACGAACCGGGACCAATGGGCCTGGCTCCTGGCCCACCACCATTGGTCCTGGTTCTTGGCATGAACCGGGACCAAAGGCTCCCCTTTAGTCCCGGTTCATGCCATGAACCGGGACTAAAGGGTTGGCCCAGAGTTTAGTCCCACCTCGCCAATCGAATGGGCGCCCACACCTGTTTATAAGCCCGTCCCTCTCTGCGTTGTTGAGCTCCTCTCAAAGTGAAAATAGATGCACCTATAGAGGAAATTGAACCTAAATTCATAAATAGAAATTAATTATGAATTTATGTTTAATTTTCTCTATAAGTGCATCTATGTTCACTAACAGAGAAGTTTTTATTTTTTATGACCTAAAAGAAAAAAGAAATCACTAAAAAACTACAAGTATTTAGTTCTAAGTAGAAATGGAAAAATAAATAGCAAAAAAGAAAAAAAATGCCTATAGTATTTGTTATGACTAACTAAAATTACCAAATTGAGTAAAGTTATTCATAAACTAGTGATTCACACAAATTTTAAAAAATTCAAATTTAAACTATTCAAATTTTAAAACTAATGGCACTAACAGAAAGTTTATAATTTTTGTGACCTAAAATAAAAAAGAAATCACTACACAACAAAAAAACAAAAAAAGTGCCACCTACTATTAAATAGCAGGAAAAAGATTGACTCAAAAATCAATTTTAACTATTCTACAAAGTGTTTTCACACAAACTTAGTAAACTAGTGATTCACACAAATTTTAAAAAAATCAAATTTAAACTATTCAAATTTTAAAGCTAATGGCACTAACAGAAAGTTTATAATTTTTGTCACCTAAAAGAAAAAAGAAATCACTAAAAAACTATAAGTATTTAGTTCTAAGTAGAAACAAAAAATAAATAGAAAAAAGAAAAAAAATGCCACCTACTGGGCCAGCACGGCCTGAATACGACTAGAAACCCAACCATGGGCCAGGATTCAGGCCCGCAGCAGGCCCAGTAGGCCCACAGGCATTGAAGTGTCCAATTAGGCCCACAAGCCTGCATTTCAAAGGAGTTCGAGAGGGAAGAGGCAGCGGAGCTTATAAACAGGTGCTGGTCACTCTCAACTAGCGAGGTGGGACTAAACTCCCACCATCGCGCCAGTGCAAGGCCATTGGTCCCGGTTGGTGGCACCAACCGGGACTAAAGTGGGGAATTGGTCCCGGTTCATGACAGAAACCGGGACGAATGCCCCCTGTAGTCCTGGTTGGTGCCACGAACCGGGACCAAAGGCCGCCGCTTCCCG